TAGTAAGGCTTTATTCCTACCAATAATACTTTGTTCTGATTGAGAACAGGCAACCTAGATGTGTTACCATCATCATCATCATCATCGTATCAGCCTTCAACTGTCCATTGCTGACCATAAACCTCCCCTTGTGGGGTTTTGCCAGTAATTGCCACACTTGGCAGGCGGATTGGCAAATGCAGTCAGAATTTAAAGATGTTTTAAGAGAAACGTTGCTGCCCATCCCTCGCCCTCCTTTAGCCGCATCTTATGACACTATTTACTAGTTAATTAAAATGTATTTATTATCAATTAATAATTTCAGAATAAAGCAATATTCTAAAGTTAGTTCTTACAAGCCTAGAACTAGTGTAAGTACAAGTTTTACAACATATTTGCATAAAAGTCAAAATGGCTTCTATATTTGTACGCGCGCATTGCAATTGTATGAAAAGTTTTAACTCCAACCACTTGAATTATAAATGGATGCCAGCTTCTTGTAATATTTCCGTATTTTTTAAATTAAAAAAAATAAAAAAAAAAAAATGGCGCCTTCGATTAGGTTATAAAAAAAGAACTATCTTCAATATTTTAATTTAATAACTACCGATTTAACTTACGTGTAATTAGATCGAAAAAGCTCGACTAGTTTCGGAATCAATTCGTGATCCTTAGTCATGAATAACTGTGTCGCGAGCGTGAGTCTGACTTCGGCAGCACTTCGGCCTGCTGAGCACGAGTTGTAGGCGCTTGCGACATCGTCACAGATAAGAAAGACGGTCTTCGGAATTCTTCGGATATGAACGGCTGGTCTCCGTAGCCTTCCTCTTCATTTGCCGTGATGCCAATAGTTGTGTTGTTAAGCCGTCGTGTACATACAATGCCTACAGTGTCACCCTTCAACTCGACATCTTCAGAATTGACTGTGTATGAAACGCGAAGAAGCGACAGTCAGGAACTGGAAAGTTTCTATGCTTGGTCTCTATTAAAAATTATCTTTTATGTTCAATATGCCCATTATATGTGGCAATGACCGTATCAACAATAATCTGTATTTCGTATATACTTGTAGAAGTTACTTTATGTTATAGACTTAATTACTTTATATTCACTTTTAAAATTTCGTAATTGTATTCGTAGAATTGAAACTAAACTATATAATGTTCTGACGATGAACAAGTAAACTGAAATGAAAATAAGACTTCCAGTTTTGCCATTCGACTATGAAACTCTAAAATACGTTAATATGGATGTGTCAAACATTTGATATTTCAGCCATTCTGACTTCAAATCTGTGTCATCGTCTGAATATAAACCAAACAAACTAGACATTCAAGTACATCGCGCTCACACTCGTATTGGAGTGCGCACTCAAGACGCGTTTCTCCCGGAGTGTTTAGCGGGATGTGTAAACGTGCTCTCCCCCGGGATTTATAATACGCGAATTGGTTTAACAAAACATTTTTATTATTACAGTGGAAATAAGATCTTAGGTAACAAACGTACCGAAGAAAACAAAAGAATTGGCAATCAATCGTCGTAAATGGTAAAACGTATAATATAATAATGTAATTATTTATATCCGCTTTACTCACATATCAACTATGAGGTCATCTGATTAGTTTCAGACTCAATAAGAGTCTTTATTGATGAAATATGATGATTTATTTATTATTAAATAACGTGATATTGACAGGTTACATGGATATATTATGTCTACGAACGGGTCACGCCTTTATCCTACATACTTAGTTAGCTAGAACAAATAGAAGACAGCTCTGATTCAGAACAAACCTTTTCATCTTCTTCTTTATAACGTATCTATTCATAGAAGCTCAATATACCTCTTTTATAATTCTTTTATCCATCCTAACAAACAACCAAACACAACGTCCTTTTTAAAATAGTTTAAAAACAATTGCAACATTTATTCTTTTATTCAAATATTTAACTTTTTTATTTTTGTTTGTTTAATAATTTGAAGGAATGAATAAATATTATACTTATCACAAATGCTCCGTAAAATATGTTTCCCATGAAATACTAGAACGACTTTTATATTTATCGACTTCTTGAACTTTAGCTCCTTTTTCAAGCATAGTATTTTAAACTAGGATCAGTAAAAATAAGTTCACGTCTCTTATTTCAAATTCAGTTTTTTAACCAATAAAATTCACTTACTCCGTGACAAAGTTAAATTTGTACATAAATGTCATATTGTGTATATAACATTTAATATTTATGTAGCAATTTTGTACCTTATACATTGACTACTGTCTCATATTACAGATTAATGTCAATGCCCTTATGATTTACCTTACCAATGTTCTTATAACTTTAAAACCATTTTTAAAATATTTTTGATACTATATTTATTCAGCTATTACGTCAAACTTTTATTTTCTTTAAATTTTCTTCTTCATTTTTTTATTAAAAAAAACTAGCTATTCATTTAACTAAATTATGCACTGATTGACTCCACTCATATCTTGAATAGCGATATACTTCTTTTAATTTAAATTAGAGACATTTCTAATAATAACTTTTACATTGGAATGTGAATCTTGAGGTTTTTTTTATCTGTGTACATAAATTAACATAATTAATAGGCATAAATTAATTATGTGTCTGATCGACTGTCAATTTTATTAAGAGCCGTTTTATGCCTTTCTCAATAATAATAACACGTTACATAACTCTCTGACTATACCTAAACAATACCCGAATATTGGTACATTTCGAGATTGAGGTTGACAATTCACTCGAAACTCGATAAAACTAAACCTTTTGTCAACGTCATAAGGTTTAATTTAACCAAACTCGCAATCACAATTACATACACAAGAATTCCTATCTGTATCAGAATTGCATCTGCAATCGTAGTCGAGGTTCGTACATAAAAGAAAACTCCATGTGTAAAATAATTGTATTTTCCTTTGATCTTATGACCACAAACGTAATTTTTGAATTATTATAGTTAAAATTACGAGTACATACAGAACAATAATATTATATTTTTTTAGGTATTACGAGTATTATTTCTTATTTTGTATTGGATGGATGCGATTTAAAAAAAGAAGAATCTCAAGTTCTTGATTTATTTTTTTGTATATATAAATTATGCGGTAAGTTATTCAATTCTACACCGTTTTTATTTATTTCTTTTTGTATTAAATGAAGTTTACCCTCACTAAAGTTGACGCGATGAAACTCGATGAAGTTATTGATTTTTTGTGGACCAAATTCTTTATTTTTCTTTTAAAGTTAAAAACGTTAATTCTAATTTAAACACAGTTCCCTATTAGTTTAAATAAACCTCAAACATAATGTTCAGACGTGTCTAAGCACGTGTAACGTTTTCGCGGGCAGACTACACTCAATTATATTATTTGTAACGAACTCAATTTGTGTAAGTCTATTAACGACGACCGACGGAAACTTTTCCAATAACGACAACTCTAGTTCCTGTGCGGGAAATGGAGCGATTTATTTCGCTGTATCTTAATCTTCAGTTTATATATCGTTTAAAGGAAAACAGTGTACTTATATTAGGTTAATCGTTCTTGAAATACGCTTTTAATACATTAATTTATTATTATTTATATTATTTATTAGTTATTTTATTTTCTTAATCCCAATCCCTATTATCTGTCCACTGCTGAACATAGATCTATCCTATAAGGGGGGTTTTGCCAGTAACTGCCAGGCTTAACAAGCGGATTGGCAACCGCGGTTAGGTTTTAGTTATGTTTCAAAAGAGGCGCTGCTGCCCAACCCTCGACCGTTAAATTTCATTAGTCGTCTCTTACGACACCCACGGTAAAGGAAGGGATAGCGTATTCTATGCGGAGACTAGATGGCAATTGTATTATTTTTATTTCTTTTAATTATGTGTATAAGCGAGGGTTACCACTTTCTATCAGGTTGGCCGTCAGCCTGTTTGCCATTCTAAGTTACATAAAAAATACTCGACCCCAGTAAATCTTAAGTTTCGTTTTTATAAACCGTATAACATATATATTATATGCCCTCTATAAAGGGTAATTATATAACCACACACTGTAAAGCATCAGGTTAGTATTCTAATTATCATGAGGTCTACCACAGAACGTATATTCGAAGTTTCGAACCGAAGTAATATACATAAAATGAAACACATTCAAACCGAATTCAGGTCTATAGGCGGAGAGTAATATTGTGTTCCTCATAATCCCTTCCATAAAGTGTCCGAACAACCGAAATTATATTAGATGTTTTGATATTTTTTTTCGTTTGCACCTATTACGTTTGGTTTCATAACATCAAATCTACGCTTCATGATAGGTAGGCTGATTGCGATTTAGACAAAAACTTCTAACATAGTTTACCGAGCAGGACTTCGAAGCATAAAACGAGTAACTTTGATTTTCCAATTATCCAGTGTCTCTTAAATTTTTATTTTATTTGTCAGTATAAAAGACATTTTATAATTATCAGTATTTAAGACAAAATTAATTCATAAATAATTTCCTGATACTCGTTTTTTAGCGACAATTTCATTTAAAATATCCAAAAAAACAGTACATACTTAAGTCAATTATAATACCTATCTATATATATGTTTGTTTATATTAAGTATTTTCGTATCGTATAGTAAGACAATAAGACAGCTCAATATGAAATACGCCACCACAGTGTGGATAACCAATAAAAATAAATTGTAACTTTCATTTCACCTTTATATTGTACGAGTACAAGTCCCCAATCTAAAGGTAAAGGACATTGTGATGGAACTCGATTAAATTAAGTTACTACAGCGAAAAAGAGAGCAATTTCGATTCTCATAGAATTCAAATGAGCTTTTTATTCAAACATGAGAGTGGAGGAAACACTAAAACAGATGGTTTCATTCCATTGCATTAGAGTAATGTAAACGCATCGTTTTTTGAACTCTCGATTGCTGACTGCTTTATCAGGTATAGCAGTCAACAAAATGTTACACTTCTTAAAACTAAAAGGATTCAATAAAAATAAAATTGGGAGATATAATTTATTCAAATAATAATACTTTCTAATAGGAGCTTAATAAGCCAGGCGATATACATTATATGATCATGAAAATTCAGTATTATTACATTGGTAGCAATAAAATATGCCTAATTATCGATACATTTCTTGTTAAAGCTATAGATGTCATAGCGTAGTTGTATTAAATTGTTTATTTATTTATAAGTACAGTCATAAAAGTTATTATTTACTCTAATTTACATATTCTTATATTTTGATATGATAACATCTCTAAATTCTTTAATAATTGAATTTTATTTCTTTTGATTGACTATAATGAAAACAAAATTATATTCGATATGTTTTTCATTGAACTTACTAATTCTTATTCACAAAATACATAATAAGCGTTTAAAAATGAACAATTTTGTTTCAAAATTACTAGTGAAATGCCTGATATAACAACATGATATAGCTACTTTTGTAAAGGATACAAAACCGTTTAGTTTACATTATAAGTACTAAAGTATTTATTTAAATATAGTCTATAAAGATATAATAATACTACTTCATTAGGTACTATGTACTGACAGCGAGACCAATGTTATAGTTTAAACAATCTATCCGAAAATATGTATGTATGTCCTACCTATTTAGAGGCCGTTATGAAATATCAAGTGTAACATCTAATTCGAATAATCATCACAATAAAACTCTACCGGAAGCTATTCATACTTCAGCTCTATTCAATGCCTTCGATATTTACTTAATTACAACACTTATCTAGCCTTACTTTACCTCCATTTGTCATAAGCAAGATATATTATAGAACTGTACAAGGGAATATTTACAATCACTTAATTTCTATAAATATTTTCTACGTAGCAACTAATTAGTGTACATGAATGCCTACCGTTTCAACTTAAACTTTCTTCAATATTGTGTCCAGCTTTTGGCTGCAATATAAATAAAACAAATATTATAATAATAAACACAATTTTTAATAATTTTGAAATGTAATATAATAAATAAGAAGACATTCTAACAGTCTTATTCATAAAAAATATTATTGTAAATGTAAAGAGCTCTTTAGCTAAAACGTAAAATAACACTATAGCACGTTTATAATAATGTTATTCATAAACATTTAATAAGCTCTCAATTAGTAAAATAGGTTTATTAAAAGATTTACTTTATTATGTTGCAGACTTGACCAGACCACACCACACCAGACCACACCAAAACACTTCTACAGACCACAAACGATTAGCTATAGCTATAGCTATCAAAAATATTATTTTAATAAAGATCTTGATAAATATACTACTCCTACTATTATAAATTATGTAGTAATAGTAAGAAAATATAATAATTACTATTTTAATTAAAAATGAGTAGTTACATTAAGATTAATATGTTCTTACAATAGGCATTGGCCTATTATAACCTTATAAACCACTATTTGAAGTTTTCGCCTTATTGGCTTGCGTTTATGAATAACCTTTTTTACTATTGCAGGTTTATGATAGATTTATAGATCATCTATATCTGACGTCATTGCACAGTTATTGCAGAGTTTTAGTGTATTTATGAATAAAGTTTTTTATAATCACATTTTTTTCTTGCTGTAAGGGACTTATAACGATAAGTTTTATGAATGAGACGGTTAGTATATAAAGATATCAAGAAATAAATCGTTAGCATTATTATCATCCATGCTATGATTAAATTATAAAAAATAATATATTTTTGTGAATAAGAGTTAATTACTATACCTTTATAGTGCATATCTCGATGCATACTCGGGCAAGTCTTTCCAGGATACTGTAAAAATTTCCATATATTATATAATATAGCAATATATTATATTCAATCATATGTTTATAATAAATAGACAGATAATGTTCAAGCATAGAATTTTGTGAATATGCTATTGCCTGTCAAAAATTTTTAGGTCCTTTTAACATTTCATGCGGAAAATGTACAAGAGAACCCTTATGGGGTGACTTTGTCCGTCCATCTGTTCGTCCGTCTGTCTATCTCAGCGTTTTATCTTAGCAACTACTGTATTATTTATTATACCTTGACTCCTTTTCCTTCGAAACACGTAGCACACCACAATCATTTTTAAGATCCAAACATGAACTTAAAAGATTCAGAAGATTAGGTTTGGTTTCATCTTAAGATTTTTAACCGCAATTAAATGTTGTCAAACTTAGCTAACAAATTTTAGTGTAAAAAATAAAACTATGAAATACCCTGCTCAAATCGAAGTCGATGTTTGTTCTCACGGCGCGGTGGTGTAGCGGCTGGGGTGGCCGGAAGTTGTTGCCAAGCGGTGCTTTTGGATGACGCGCATCGCCTTGCATTAGTCGCCGAAGAGCGTGCAACTGGTGTAAAAAAATTATATTGTGTTATTAGTTATCTAACACAATAATAAATCATAGTCTAAATAGTAACTAGTACAATATATTATTCATTACTTGCAATTTTCCGCGACTTTACCCGTGTGTATCAGTATTTAATGTAAAATAAATAAAATATTTAAGTGTGTTTGATTAATAAACATATAAAAATCTGCAATACTGGAAGAAATCCTTTCAAGAGATAAGTCTGGCTGTGTGCCTTGTCATTGTCGTTATAACCTGATATCTATAATAAAATTAAATGTACATATTTAAATAAATAAATGAAAATAAACTTTTATATTCATAATATTAGCAGTATGATGATGATTTTTCAAAATCATCTTAAAGATTTTAATGACGGCGAATGCAGTCGACAATCATAATTAATTCGAAATACAATGATATAGTGACCTTATATCGCGCTAGATTTTAAGTGCTGGCAATATCTGGGATAATCCAATGTAGCAGAGATGCGAATATTAAGATTTTTTTTTTTTACAACACTGGGGGCAAACGAGCATGCGGCTCACCTGATGGTAAGTGACTACCGCCGCCCATGGTCACCCACAACACCTACGGCATTGCAAGTGTGCTGCCGGCCTTTTAAAAAGGAATATGATTATGTTGTCGTATCGGTTCGGAAATATTGCTGGAAGATTCCAAAGAGTTGTGTGGTGTGACAAGAGCGTATCAGATGTACATGATGTACATGAATATATCAGAGGAAATATGGAAGTAGCGCCAGTCATAGAAAAAAATAAGAAATAATAAATAAGTATCTTGTAATTAGTACTTTTGGTATGAACACATCATACGTAAAGATGAGAAGTAAGTTAAACGAAAAGTTTTAAGTATTAATATAAATGGCTGATAGAAAATAACCTAAAAGGGCATGAATGGATTGTGTGAAAGGTAGTATAGCCAGAATGGGAGCGAATGAAATAGAAAAAAAATATTACGCCGATCACAAATAAATCATTGAAATAAGTGTAGAAATATAATCTAAGGGTAGAAAGATATTAATCTGGGGCAGTCCAATACTACTACTAATCGTGCGAGGGTGATGCTATCTATTATCAAGAAACTGTAACCATCTTCATTTTGTACGAAGGAAGGAATTTACCCGCAATAAACAAAATACTATATAATTTTTGGTTAAAATTACTAAGAATACTAACTCTTGACAATTTTAATCAGAAAAAAAAAAAAAATGATCAATTAAACTAACATTACAAAACAGAGTTGCTATAGTAGTTTGATGATGCAACTGCCAAAAAAAATATAAAAAATCTTTAGATAACACACTCGTGTTCGTACGTTGTGAAGAAAATCTACCTACTATAATATAGGGAGAGCCGATTTCGAGTAAATTGAAATTTCTTCGTTTTATGTGTTAGTGTTGACTGGTGTAGTGGTGTACAGATTAACGGGCTTACCGCACGCGACCACTATCTCATTCCCATCGCTGTTTACGCCGTATTAAACAATTTGATTCTGATTATAGACTCTGCGTTAACTTTGATTTAACCTCAGCCAAATAGTAATTTTCTGTTTTACGGTTATTAGAAGCTATAAACATGTTTGTGGAAGTAATTTAGTATTATGATATTAAACATGAAATTCTGAGTCCTTACAGTAAGTTTGTTTAATATAAATAAAACAGCAATATTATCGTAGAGACTCAGTCATTGAAACCATTCATTTTTTTATACTTAAACGGTGCCTATAAATCGTTTTGTATATATAATTAAGTAATCCTAATTATATATAATCAAGCATATTTGTCTGTACTGTATTAAGATTTATATTTTAATACAGTACAAAGATATATCAGAGAATTTTATTTCTTTTTGGTTGACAATTTAATGGACAAGAAAAGGTACATTTACACTAAATGAAGAAATAGCATAGTCTTTTGTTTAGTGTAAATGAGCTAAGAGCATTCTTTGGTTGCTCTACTGCGTTCGGGAACAATATAGTAGAATGTTCTAAGAACGCTCGCTTGTCGCTTGTACTGCAAGAACAAGCTCACGGAGCATTTCACTTAGAACGTATTCTCTCGAAGAAACCGTTGTTGTGGTAACATAATAATTTCATTTGACATTGTTTACTCAATGATGTAATAAAACACAGAGCGCACGTCAAGAATACAAAAGCATTCCTACAGCTGGTAGAATGTTCTTGTTCTGTTCTAACTCGTTTCATTCGTATTCTTTATTATTTAGTCCTAAACCTATGCATTCTATCTTTAAAATACATAATCGTTTGGTATAACTCCACTTTAAAACATTAATAAAACTTTGGGTAGAACATATTCAAATTACTTCTCAACTTCAACGATATTTAAACAGATTTTTTTTATGAGAATTAAGTCACAATTTTTTCCCGAGTGAAAACGTTTATTGTTATTGTAAATAACCATATGTAGTCATAGTGCAATTGTGTTAATAGTACATTTCGCTTCAAGAAGCTAGAGCATGCGTTCGCTCAAGTGGCCGTGAGATACCCAGCAGTTTCCACTAGCACTTAATTTCCCCACCAACAAACGGAAAACATAAACAATGATTTATAATAACAGCCACACAACGCGGCACTTTCAGTTTACTTTTAACACGTACATAATTCACCTCGGAGTCTTTGTCTAAAGGCGAGGGACGTGAGTTGTTTATTGTAGCGTGAGCACAAATGAAATGTTATTACGCTGGCCTCAACCACGCTCGAATTCACGGAGTTAACTGATACTTAACTAGATGGGTTCACTTTAGCTATGGCTGAAAAGTCAATATCTAACTAACAGTTATCATACAATAGGAGTAGTAACACGTACAATTCGAACTACTCGTTATCAAACTCAATACTAGAGTTTAAACTTCAAGATTACCAAGCACTACTAATTTTATTGTTAAAAGTTTTATAAGCACACATATTTTAATGCCGATGCGCGCAATCGTCACAGCCACACATGATTAAGGATCACGAATTGATCTCAGACCTAGTCGAGGTTTCTAGATCTAATTACACATAAGTTAAATTGGTAGTTATTACATTTAAAGTATTATTAAAAACAAAACGAGACATTTTTATTATTTTGTATTCGTCGTTTTATATATTTTAAACAAACGAAATCTTTTCTATATAATTTACATTTTATCTTTGATTAATATTACAATCTGATTTTAATTTCCATACAAGCTCTTATAAAGTGATAATTTATATTTTTACGGCTAGGCAGTAGATATACTCTTTATTGTTTTTTCTAAAGATCCCCCAAATAATTACAAGAAATAATTACAATGAGAAAACAATGGGCGACCTTATCGCTAAAAGCGATCTCAGTATAATATTAATACAATTTATGTTACTTTTAGTACTTTTAAATTAACATACTATTTAAACGAGAAGTATTTTCCTATAAATTTATCAATATGACTTCCACACACGTTATATCTGTTACATAACAGATAGTTACCTAGAGTAATATCCAAATACGCTGAACTTGATACTTGAGCGGATGCAACCTACCCATTATATTGAGTGCCACCGACTACAGCGGCCACTCTCCGTAACTTGACAAATAATAATTCATTTGTATATTAATTACACGTTTGAGCCAGTATAAATAATTTCCAAATGTTTTCAGTCGATAAGTTTTGAAGTCATGTTATAGTGCAATTAAGTCGATAATATATAAGTATGATTCGATTATTTAAATTTTACGCTAGTTACTACTTTTCGTTTGATTGTCTATAAGAAATTGCTCATAGCAATTACCTTTTATTATAGTATATTTCAGGGGTAACCTGGACTAATAGTCCAGTCGATCATAGCAAAGCAAAAATATAAAATTTTGCTAATCTAGTCGCAATACACACCCTAATATAAATAAGTAGTTACTAAGAATAATTTTCAGTTTTATTTATCTCTTAATACAATTTAAAAAAAAAACTACTATACTACATAATTTTGTATTAAACTATGTTGTTTCTTTTGAGATTTCAAGAAGTATGTAATTGGTAGATCGTACAAGGTTTCGTCACTAAACTGTAAATCTTGGTTCTAATCAAGTTGACCACTTCTGATATATTTAGTATTTTAGTAAAAATATTCTATATTCATAATAAAATTAATTTTTAATATGAACAAGTTATACCGTAGTAGTCATCTTATGGCTAATGTAGCTGTTAAGTACTGCAAATAGTAAGCCAATCGGTGTTAAGGGTTCATTTAACAAAACTTTTAATAATTAATATAATTTATTCAGGTCATAATATTTCCTTTCCTATTACGTTATGCTCATTTAGACTGGCTGTAAGGAAATCTAACAATAAAAGAAAGTTACGAGTCATGCTTACGTGAGCTGGTAAAACTGTCGACTATTACCGTTGTGATAAAAAAAATATTCAATATATCCATATTTCGCTGACTATATTTTAATTTAAGAAAATATACAGCCAAGACTGATTTTGTTCTTTAATGGTATTTACTATTAATGGAGCATTGGTTTAAAATATTGATACGCAAAATTTTATGTTGGCCAATATCTAAAGCAAATTAAATATAAAACTAGTACATTGCGCGTTGCTTATTTATCTGTTACGACAGCCTGATTATGAAACAGTGGTAACACTGTATCTTATTCTGTCATCACACGCTTTTACATAATACATTAAACTACATTATATATGCGTACTATAATTGTAGGTGTAAATAGACATTTACAGAATGATTCATTACAATAGAACTTACTTGTTGCTTTGTAATATAAATTGGTTTATTGACAATCACCCACGTGACCGTCTCGAAGCAAGCAGGCGCCGTCGTGGAGCCATCATATGTCATGTAGTATTCGGTGTCTGGCAGAAGACCCCGTACGGATAACTTATTGACCGGCATCTCGGCTCCTTCAGAACATTTGTTATAGATATTACTAAATAATCGAAATAATACAGATAAAACTTAATAACCTGAACACACAAGGCTTACATAAAGGATTTATTTTCCACAAACAAAAGATGTCCCTGGTCTGCACAGGCTTTTAATCATATTTTCAATATTATTATTTTTTTTTCAGTTTCCAAACATATTTATTTCATTCCATTAAAAGATTAAAATTCATTACTTTAATATAACAAAAACATATTTGATGGTAATTTCTATTTATAGAAAAATCAATCCATTGTTGTTTTGAATGCGGAGGCAGTTTATGGAAGTTTACAAGCAAAGTTAATAGAAACAACACAAACTTACAAGATAGCTGGCAGCATGAATTTATCGTTATCAATTATTTTTTTATCATGACTTTCCCTATCGAAATACATCCTTATCTTACTAATCCGTTTAAACGTGAATCGTGGGATGGAACGTAATTGAATATATTTTTTATAACAGAATGGCAAACAAGCTTACGGCCCACTTGATGAAAAGCAATAACCGTTGCCTATAGATATGAATAGCACCATAAACATTACAGAATACTCTGTGATACCCATGGTATGCCTCACGCCTTGTTATTCTTGAGAAATATGGTGTATGGCTCTGTATCCTGTGTTTCATTTTCATACCTCCTTCCCTTCTATTACCATTCGCTTCAAACTAAAACACATCCATGCAAGCATAGCTGATTGATGGGATAGAAATACCTGTGCAGACAATTTTTGTACAAAATCTCTAATAGTAACTATAAACGGAGACATAATACATATGTTGTTTAAATATTATATTTCCAGTGACACACGACGACTGAAAAGGCAAACTATTTTCAAGCATTGGAACAATCAAAGTCACCTGTATTAAATTAATTAAAAACAAAGTTCACTTCTACAAGATACTAAAATCAACTTCAATAGACTCACAAGCACTGCCTGAGAAATTCCCTATACGAAACTCGCGTAACATTCGAAAATGGCTAAAGTTATACAACTTACCTCCGTATTTAATATTTTCTAATTCCTCCGTCAGTACCCGTAATTCTGGATTCGACAAATCACCAAGCTGCAATAAAAAAATAAATTTAATTTTACATTAATATTACATGAGTTAAATTATTTCTTAAATTATAAATTATTAATAATATAATAGACCAAGAAGGGGTTTTATTGCTAAGCAATCTCTCTAGACAATCTTTGGGTAAGAAGAATTAATTTATTAATGTAAGTGACTATGAGAAGCTGAAGACCGTGCATAATAGAATAACATTATAAGAGAGGCAACAGACACCTTTCAAGGACACGACCTTCAGTAATGAAGAGGACGAAGAGAGAAAGAGGTGACTATTACATTTATATATGATCTAGAGTAATAAACTTAAAAATGACGTTATATGTAGAAACTGATTACTTGCTCAGTAGAAGAAACTTAAAAAAAACAAATACAAAGATTAGACACCCCGAAATAACGATTAAACCATAGAGACTCATTTTAAAAAAAAGAATTTACTTTTTTTCAACCTTTTTATTAACAGATACCTACCTGATAACCCTATAAGATGTCTAAGATACTTATATATTATGCGTATTTATGTACTAGATGCGTAGTAGCTATAATTTCTAGAAACCTTTAATAAGTGCAGTTCACATAATCCAAGCAAAAGCTTTTTCTGCTGAAAATAACTTTACTACCTACGTAGAATATTAAATAAAAAAGTCTTTGTGCCGTATAAAAATAACAACATAATAATTATTTTACGTACGCAAATTCAAATAGCACTTAATCCACTTTTAAGGTTCCGTAAGAAAATAGCACAAAGAAACCTTTACATTGCTAATAATATTATTATACATATATATCTCGGTAATTGAGAGAAGTGTGGACAGAAAGACAATGTAGTTACAAAAATCGAAAAATGAATGTTGCGTTGGTATGGCCATTTGGAGAGGATGAATGAAAGAAGAATTACGAAAGAGATTTATCGAGCAGGAATAAATGGAGATATCGGTAGGGGCCGCCCTAGATGGGCGTATGTCAACCAAATAGGCGATGTGCTGAAGAAGAACCAAATTAAAAGTACCCGTAACCAGCGAGCGTGTATGAAAAGATTGATGAATGTGGTAGAAACAAAAGAGACTTTTTTAAATCGAAGCATTTGACATTCCATTGTTTCTGCCTACCGTAATGGGAGACAGGCGTGACAGATGTGTATGTATGTATCTCAGCAATTATAGTGCTCTCAAATTGAATAATATTGTGGACCTACCCTTAATACAAATTTAAATAAGTAAAAAAATCTTTTCACTTTTTACTGGAATTCTAAAAGGTATGCTCGAAATTTCAAAATAGGCCAACTAGTCTAATGAGGAATGAAAGGAATTCATTTGCACATTAAAATAAGAACCAGATTTAAAAACCGATTTTTAAAATCTCTGTTTTTAATTAGAGGCCCGTTTACATATTATTTCATGTGTAGAACTCTCATTGTACGATATTAATTCACACTTGATGAGTTTTTTTAGATAAAACTTAGACAAATAATAAGGTATAAGTCAAATAAGCAACTTATTATTATTATGACTAACTGTATGATTATAACCGGTCTTGTGCAAAATTATTAACTAGATATAGTTTCCAATAGGTATTTCAACTAACACGAACAGTACGCGTGCGAAATATAATGAACGTGTCGGTAAACACGGGCCCTTTGGGACAACATCAGAGGGATAAAGACCCTTCATTAAGAAAGGTCATAAAACGATCGACTAGTTCCGAAACTCGAGTCATACAAGAAATACTAGGTGTTATTTATGTCGGTCAGGTTGAAATTTAACAAAAGGCATATGCATTTGTTATATATATATACAATATTAAATACTAACGATCTACCTTGGCTTCGCACAGGTATGTAGATTTTTCTATAAAATATAACCCACGTTATTATTGAATAATATAGTATTCTATAAGTAAGAGAATTATTAAAATCGATAAAGTATTTTTTGAGTTCATTCATTGCAAATAAATCAAATCTTTCGTCTTTATAATAGATAAAATTTTCGAAAATAAGATACAGCCTATGTTACTTCTTGATAGTTTTATATTGGTGAAAGGATTTTATAAAATCGATTACGTAGTGTTTATATAATATATTACAAACAAACAATAAAACCTTTACTCGCTATAATTTAAAGACAACTTTAAGCACTACTTTATTAGATACAACAAGATCTGTAATTGATACAAAAACAAATACTTAGATACTTAAATAGTTTATTTTATTGCGATTATTATATATTAAGTTACATTTGTTTAATTATATTTATTTTGGAATTGACTTCAAAATAATATAAAAAAAGGAAGGAATTTTTAATTTACCATTACTTTTATACGTGTATCTACATATATTGTAGATATTTAATGTATATACTATCCACATACAGTACATAATATCTGTAACTCCTTTCTAAAAATGCTATCATATCCATGTATATAATTTCATTATTACGACAATATGGTAAAATCGGTCCCTTTACCTAACAGTATCAGACTGCTCCTACTAAATAAATTCACACAACGAAGCGAACGTTGGCCGGCAATTAATTTAAACTATAGTGCGTTGTTGTGTTAATCCCTCCAAGTGACTGGCGATATACTTTACTACCGTCATTCAGTCAGTTCTTAATTTGTACTAATAGCTTTAGCGGCTAATCCAATGGAGCGCAGAAAATTCCAATTTCCTTAATTAACTACGCTCAGTTTGGTTGGAATAAGGTTGCCGTCTATGAATAGGTGCGGCCGCGTTGATAGCAGCACTCCATCTATAACATCAATTACGTGAAAGCGCAGTCGCGAGTTTACAAAAATTGCAAATCACTTACGGAGCCATCAAATCACTGGCACGCCTTCATAAAATTATTTTTGTAGCATCTTTTCAAACAAAACGCCTCATCATTAATTTTTTATTGGATACGATACATTATTTATAATTATAATACTTCGTTTATATTATATATATATATATATATATATAGGACGGAATCACGAAGGTTTGTGGTACAAAATCCCTTTTCTCCATTTCCCGTGGGCCTTACCAAAAACCCTTACTTAATGAATGCTTACGTTACATATTACCACTGTATATGTAATAGTACTACTCTATATGAACTATAGTTGTTTCTTGCTCTTATATTAACTCAAACAGACTTCATTCTTGAGTTATGTGTGCGATCCCAAATATGACCGTTTAAAAAAAGAACACAGCACACTCAATACAAACACTTTTATAAGTATACAGATATTGTCGTAGTAACAGTCATGTAATACGTAATTTTTGTATGAGGTATCAAGGTATACATAAAGAAATTCCGTACAAAATTTCAGATTTCTACCTCCATTAATTTTGGCTCTTCATTAATATGACTGTCAGTTAGCTAGGATTTCAGCTTTTTTTTTTCAAGTAAGTAATACAGATTATTATATAAATGAAATTATACCTAATGTATAATATTTACCTGTAAAAGTAAAGATATTGAAACAATTCCTTGAGCTTTGTGCAGAGCTTCGGAAAAGTTTGAATAAAGCTGCGAATTGAAACCAAATATTTGAATCTGTAACAAAAGAATGGATAATGATTGTTATATTCAAATTAATACTTCGGATTATATATTTTTTTTTAAAGAAACGTATTAAACAAGAATGTGGATGAATATAAGGATATTAGAGGAAACCCCAAAAAGAAATGAATGGACTGTGTAAAAGATAATGTGGCCAAAAAGGAATTAATATTTATTTATTCATAGGAACACCTACAGCATATGGTATTATAACATATATAATAAACGTTAGATATAATACAATATGAATGCACATGCCTATTAAAGGTATTCACAGCATTTACTTTAATGTAATTTTTTTTTGTACGACTTAGAATGGCAAACAAGCTGACGGTCCACCTGATGGAAAGTGGTAACCATCGCCTATAGACCTGAGCAGTACCATGGACATAACAGTACACACACATACTGTTTCGCCCATGATACCCCCCATGCGTTGCCATTCCTGAGGACATAGGTGTTATTCCTCTGTACCCTGTAAATTCACGCCATATCCCACCCTTGAAACTGAAACACAGCCATGCAAACACAACTGCTTCACGGTAAAAACACGAATGGGACAGAGGTACCCAAGCAATCAACTTTTGTAATTCTGGTATAAAAATATTTGGAAGAATTTTAAAGAATTAGTTACTAATAACAAATATTTTAAAAGTTACATTATTAGTTTTGAACGTTTACATTTAATAAAAATAACATCGTGGCCCAGTGATTTACTTACCTCATCTCAATAAGTCCTGATTTGCAGTGATTTCGAATCTAACCAATGTAAAACTTTAACAGTTACTCTTCTTATTGAAGAGGGGTGAAAAGATCGAGATAGTGGTAGATTGGCACCCCTTAAATGCCATTGCATTCCGATATGCTTCAAATGTAAACGAATTACGTTAACTAAAAAGACAGTTTGAAATGCCTCTGACCAACCTAGAGTATTTATTTTGTTAACTTAATAAACAAATTTCATTTTTATACTTATTATAATGGTAAACAAACTGACGGCGAACTGAGCGGCGGTTATCACTTTCCATCAGGTGAGCTGATGGAAAGTGATAACCGCCGCTTGAATAGCATCAAGTACATTATAGAACGCCTACTATGTGACCACAGTGCATACCCTTTATACATTTTACGCGTATATAATTTCTTTGCCATATCCCCTTAAAACCAAAATTGACAATTGTTCAATGTCTACAAAATAGCAAAGTGCCTATAAAAATCTATGAAATTGTGTGAATAAACCGAACCACACAAGAGTAAGCACATGAATTCGGATTTAACGTGGCTGCGTAAGAATTTGTCACATAAATAAACAGGAGGCACGGTTGAGTTGGCTCGCAGTCGTTCGTCGGGATTACATTTGGGATTTGAGCGTCTCAGGGTGGCGGGCGGAGCGGCGTGGCGGCGCGGCACAGAGCTACGGCGGCGCGGTCCATGCGTGTAAAAACATCTGTTACGTTACTTCAGAGACCTCCAAAGAAATCTGCGATAACATTTTAACGTGCGTAACGTATTTATTTGGCGTTTCACTATAATTCTATATTCTAGGAATTAGTTTATACCTACTTTCTTATCAAAAGTGTAGGTCGTTTAAAAATAATCAGATTGGGCTAGATTGAAATACCATCCCATATGTACATTCTGCGTCTTTTCTTACAAAAGAAGGATATTAACATATTATAACAATTATCAGGTGGTATTAATTACCGTTTCATTTCAAATTTTTATTTTCTTATGCTGTACTTCGTTACTTATGACATCTTACAAATAAAAAGAACATTGCTGGTATCTTGTAATCATTTTACTCTACATTTATAATCACAAATTTCACAAACAGTATTTTTTCTAAATAATAAATAAATTATTAATTGATTTCCAATATTTTTATATGATGAATAATTGAATATTTTATCCAATAAATAATTCCTATTAAAGTAATAAATGCGAAAATTTGTATCGATGAATAGATGTTTTTACTATTTCGCGCAAAAACTACTAAACGAATGCAATTTGTTAGTCGAGTAAGTTATATCGTAACTTAACATATAAAATGCTCTATGTACTGATTTACGCGGATGTAGCCGCAAGATACAGCGTGTTTTACACAACTATAATTTACAAATTGTAGCTATATGTTATTAATAAAATTGATATCAAAGTACCTGAATAGGTATACAATTCTGTGTGTAATTAATTATAACACGTATTTGATATTCATGAGTGCGTATGCAAGCAATTACGATACATTGATCGAGATGTTTACTCAGTCGAACTTCAGTGAAACGACTATATTGTATTAAGCACTGAACAGTTTAACTAATTAAACTAGCTATAAGCATCATTTGTACCTATGATTATTTATATTTTGTAACATAAAAAGAGAATTATTGTATTTCATTTTTATATAATCAACTGTTATTTATACTTATTATTATTAAAAATAGATACCTATTTATTTCATTATTTATACTTTATTGGCCTAATTTTAATGCTGTGTACCTGAAGCTTTCTCTCCCAGTTAACCTTTGGCAAAACAAATGTAATTTCCAGTGTGCATCTACATTCTGCATTCCTAATTTCTATCTGTTAGACCGTTTTATATTAATATTTATTTTACACTTCAACCGTCCCTTCAATTTTCTTTTACCATTTAATTGTTCAAAAGCTCGACTATAGCAAAAAGTAGCTACATTCATTTACCTACTTCCTTCTATAGACATTTTTAAATTGCAAGAAATGCAGCGCAATATTAAAATTATTCAACGAAAGAGACAAACCCATTGCAACAGTTCAGTCCAGGTCCAGTTAGAAAATTTCATGTTTCTAGATCAAATAGTTTTTACTATGCGTTTATCAAACATTGTAATAAAATCAGAAGATTTCTCTTTAAATGTAAATATATCTAAATTCATCTACGTAAATCTATAAATATCACCTTGGTTTACTGAAGTTATTGATATAACTATTTAATATTTAACAGTATATGTCTGGCCGTTCCTATATACAATGCGTAGGAGCTTTAGAGCAATCCACTAATAATTAGAAAATTAAGACCCCAAATCGCATGAGCAGTATAATTAGCAACTATAACTTGTCAAAACTGGTATAGATATTAAATTGAAGGAGCGAAAATTCTAACTTATAAGAAAAAATGTTATAAGTCCACAATTCTAAACAAGTTTATAAGGGGTAATTACTGTATTATACTCGTACCTATGTTTATCTTTGAATGAAAAATATGGGGTAGAAACCAAAAGCACCTAATTTGAGTTAATTAAATTGTTCCTAAATAATATACAAATTACTGTAAAACTTTGTACCAGTACTTAATACGTAAGCTCAGTAATTTACACAATAATCTTATACATAATAGTATAAAAAGGGTATGTCACAGAATTAAATATTATAATTATTATACAATAATTTATGAAACTATGAGTATATTTTATATACATTTTTGTCTGTAATATTGTACTTATTTATGACTGAGATATAATATGATCCCCTAATTTGATGGTATAATAAAACCCTAAGTTCTATTCACGAATGGTTTGTTATAAAATTTACCTTAAGATAGCATACAATACAACACGTACTACTCACCTCTGCAGGAAATGAATAACCATTGATGGCGTGCTCTGAACCGAACTGATCGTGCAATCCGTAATGTATATGGATTTCATGGAATTGATACTTGTATGAGAGCGGACCTCCCGTGATGTTGATGTGATGTCTAGTCTCATTTTCCACGGTAAAAATTACCGAGTGACCCGTATTGCTTATTAATCCATTTATCTAAAATAAAAATAACATAAGTTAAAATTTTAAGTTACAAACTTTCATATAAGACTTCATTCTTTTATATAAGAATTTTCAGTTACACACTTTCTACAAAATTTCTCATAAAAATTGTTAATATCGTTTCCGAATTAACTCAGATATAGCGTAATATACACAAAAATTTAATTGGCCCCTCCTTAAATATTTTATATGATAAAATAACAAAAGCCATTTACATAAAACTAGGTTCTAGTATTTCTGCAACCAAATAACTATGCTAGCATGGCTGCGTTTCGGTACATTTTCGGTAGAATGGGGATTGCTGGATATGGGTACATAATACCTTAATCCTCAGGAATAGCAACAAACCAAGTGTTCAATGGGTGTCATAATATATTCTGTAATATCTACGGTGCCGTTTATACTCTTTTATAAAGGTGACAGATACTACTTTGAATCAGATAGACTGTCAGCTTGTTTGCCATTTCAAATATTATAAAAAGTCCGACATAAAATTTTGTTCGTTTACGTATAAAACGTAATAAATTAAAAAGTTACGTAATACCAATATTTGTAATTGTATAAACACAGCTTAAACAAACGGATGCGGACCAATTTACAGAGCCTCATATTTAAACTCATTAATGATTAAAAAAATATTTAAACAAAATTTTATTTTCATAATAAAATTAATTACTTATACCACAGCTGCTACAGAAGTTAAACCTTGACTTTCGAATAAATATAATGTATTAAATTAGAAAGTAAATAGCCATTTTCAAATTACTTTTATCAGCCTTGCCATATACGAATATCTCATTTATTTGATGTTACGTTAACCTATAATTATATTTATAAATGCACCGACAAAATTATTTTATCGAAAAAAAATTAAGATAATCCAAGCAAAAGAAACCGTAGGCACTAATTAGGTGATAAGTATTAAGTTTATTATCAATCTTTGTATAATTTGATTTCCAAATAGACTTACCCTATGCTTATCTATGTGCAAAGATCGTAGGTTGGGGTCGAAAAGCAGTTTTTCTGGCTCCAGGTTGACTGGCGATTGCCGCCGTCCCTTGTTGCATAACGACCATTCCGGATTTATCAAGCCCCAAAACGCCGGACCTTTGGGAACAAAGTTCTGTCTAAATTAATCTGTAAACATCATTTTATTATGATTAAACACTTGATAATTATTAACTGCGACTACTTTTGTTGATAAATTATTTATCTAGCAGTAAATAGTATGAACAAACTTCCAAGCAACAACATAAAATTAAACATAAAAAAAATTTTAACGTAATCTTATAATTTAGAATAGTCCTTGCTGTTGCATTGTTTTTAATCTAACCTAAAAAATATTAAATCAAAAACCATTTACATGCCGCTTCATCTTTAAGTACTGTACCCACTCAAATTACGATAGCGTACTTCAAGACAAATACGTACTGCGTAATATGTACAGAAAACACTAAAACTTTATGTGAATTATTTGCCAATTAATGAATACTCAATATTATGGTAGTACGATTAAACATCATAACAATAGTAATATAACACAGATAGATATTAACGCTCTATGAGAACTAATCACCTAATCGGAACAGCTTTCACCATTGCATTGTTTCCATTCATACCTAATGAATATTAAATCGGCCGCTTTCAAACACCACTTCCACACGGCTTTATTAACTTGTACATACTTTAAATACTAAAGTTACATATATTCGGATAAACAACGGACTATGTTTTATGGACGGCCATGCACACGCTGTTCATTATTATGAAATGAAACAGAAATTCTCTGTTAATTATCGCCATGACAATAGCTTATAATAAGCGAACACGTCGCATTTGGTTCGTATCTACGTCAATTAATACATGTTGTGAATTTAATGGACACATAATATCTATACAAATACCTATACTTATAGAGAAACCAACCTTTATGTATATTGCCAATTCTCTATTTCAATAATATAATATAATTTCAATAACTTAATCCTACTTCTAAAATATATACGAACAGTAATATTAGCCTACTGTTATTCTGTCTCTGGCTCTGATATATTGTTTTATCTGCTAGCTACCTAAAACAATATTGCGATTAAAAAAGAGTGATAACACTTTGTATTCAATTTCAATTCCAGTAAAAGGATTACACAATTACTTTCTATTTTTTTTTAACTTGTTTGAAAATGTCTCGCTATATCACTATAAAAGGATGCAAGACTACCGTCATTATATGGATTAATTATAATTTTATGAATTAACAATATTTGACCATTATGAAAATCATAATTGACACCCGACATTTTAGTTGACGACCAGATTAAATCATATAATCTACTAAGCTATAACTAGTCATCTAGATCCCGCTACAGAACAGGCTACCGCTTCTTTTCCCGTGGGTGTGATAAGAGGCGACTAAGGAGGTTTATGGTGGAAAGATAGACAGCAGTGTCTCTCTTAAAATATCACTAAAAGTCAAACTACGGTTGCAACTACTAGCATGTTATGTTCAACAGTGGACAGTTAACGGCTGATAGAACAAACTATAATATCACTAATATATTATTTTTGAATCAAACAAGCTGGAATCGATACTGAAGCTCCCACATTTGCCATAATCAAGTACTATTAAAAATGAATACGTAGTACGAAGCAATAAAAGCCAATAACCATTACCATAACAGTTTATGCCCTGAGTGTAAACTTACAGCAGTCGGTATCCCAAGGTATTTCAATATAGGGGAAAAGTGCTGTGCAAAAGTAGCCGAAGTGCTTTGGATCGCGTTCACGGTTTTATTATTTATGACCTTGAAAATTGCATGAGTAAGCCGGCGCAACGGTTGTGGTCACGCCCACTTTATGGGCACGCGTTAAGCGAATTTACCATTAATGCAAAATACTTTTTCGCTTTTGGCATTACTGTTTGCGAAATTTCGCTTGAATTATTTGTGGATAGTTAAACAGATAATTCTTTAAATGTTTTTTTTTTATTTATAACTTTAGGTACTTAATACTTTACACAAATCATCGTGTACTTACTTAGCATATAACATATTTAGAATAGAGAATGACAAACTACTTCTGATCAATCAAAAAGGTCTCATCACAAGAAAGTCGCAGGTATATCTAATACAAAAAAAAAAAACAAATTGACTGCAAAATAAAATTTTCAAGTTCAAAATGAAAACTATTAAATTATAACTATTATCTAATGGCTTCTTCAAAGGTAATAATATGACTAATTTTACCAAATAGATAGAGGACCTACTCTATTTCACTATTAATAATACAGCCCTCTCGTTTAATTAAACATACCGCAGCATTGGCTCTACTAATGCTACTAATGCGCGTGAATATTTCAAATGCCTGTTAGTACTACACAGATTCACAAACTTCAAAAAGTCAAACAATATTATGATTTTACTGCGTCGATTTAAAAATGTTATGGATTTGAATCTGATCGACAGCAAAGTTTTTCGTGTTTATTTAGATTTCAAATAGCCTCTCCGGCGATGGTAAACACTATTAATAACTCTGTTCGTGCTCTGTCACAATGGATTCGAATATACTCATTAAAAAATGATCAATCGGAAAGTCACAAATAGCTTCTGATTTATTACTTCGTTAACTACATATAATTTAAATTTTAAAATACTCGTAATTCATATTCCGAACTTACAAATTATGAAAAAATATTACATTATAGTAAAATAAAAACTTATCATTTGGAATTGTTTTATAAAGTAATAAACTACTTTGTTGTAAACTGCTCTTACTATTGTATAAAAACAATAGAAAGCTTACTAATTAATTTTGTACTCGTAATTATCTATTGAAAAAAAAAAACACAAATCAAATATGAATTTGAAATTAAAATTCACAATTCCTATTACGAATTACATAAGCATACCATAAATAAAAACAAAAAGAAGCACGTATCTAATACTCCATAAAACTGAAGAAAGACATCGTCGAATATAAGTAACAGAATGACAAGATACGACACCTCACAATTTGGTCCGCAACGTGGGTAATATGAATGCATGATAAATCGCCTGTATAAATTCCGTGTCACGTAAAACCGGCAAAAATGTTATCGGCACAGAGAAATTGATACGGCCCACAAACGAATGTTATGCGGCGGGCTTGCGGTGCTTCGGTGCATTGATTTTTTTACAATATGAACACATCCTGTTGATTTATCTCTTTCAGTCGCATTTAGTGTATGACAAATATTCTTTGTATATTTACTTATGTTAAAGTATTACTTTATTAGTACATACATACAATGATATTTTTTGGCTGATTTTCTATTTCTTGTTTGGAAAATTGTTTTATACAAGATAACTATAACCATCTTAGATATTCGTCAAGAAACTATCGTTAGTATAAAATGTATTTCTTATTCAAAGTTCGATTCAACTTTTTACTTCGACGCGTTGTTATCGCTGACATTTTGTCCATTTATGCGACAATTATATAAACAGAAATTTAATAGTATTTTTTGACGAAGCTTCCCAACTTTCTTCTTTTTATTTCCCCAATTGGCAATCGATAAACTTAATGCTAGTTTTATCACTGACATCAAATTTAAATAAATATAACTAAGCTATAATCTGTTATAAACACGCCTTATATAAAAATGCACGACATTGAATTTATTTTAAGGCGTAAGCAAAATAAGTACTGTCAATATTTAAACAAATACAAATACTAAATTCACCTGAGATAATAATTATAAGTAATTATAACTCAGGTGAATTTAGTATTCACTTTTTTATTGTCCTGCATACTGGTACATTCTAGTAATAAAAAATGTTTTATTGCGGAGCAAAATCTTAAATGTATACTCAAAATCTTAAGTATATACGAACTTCAAAATAAGCAACGTTTATGAAATAGTTGTACTACCATAATTATTTTGTTATTAAAATATTTAAAACACGTACATACTAAATAAATATTGCGACCATGCAAACAAAATAATAAAAGTAAGCCACTCATATTTCAAATGTGGATACATTAACTTTAATAGCATCTAGAATATTCTAAATTGAACTGTACTCACCTGAAATACCGTCGTACGTCCACCATTCCTCCCAGCTGACGGCACTCACGGCTGCAATCAAACCAAATCTAATTAAGTCTGCACACCTCTCATTATGAAAGCTACAGTCGCCCCTTACATATTGCAGTGAAATATATTGTAACACAGGACCATCAACTTCTCTAATCATCAGCTAAACAAAACAAGAGTATAATTAGAGTAAAGCTGTATAATATAGATAACAGTTATACAACTTTACGAAAAAAAACATAGAACTTTTAAACAGAAATTAGAAAATGACCATGTTTTATAAAGGACTAACTTGTGGCCGCTACTTCGTACGCGAAATTTAGAAGTGAAAAAAATCAATGTAATAGACTACTTCTAGATAGCGTATCACAATAAGCCAGTTTATAAGTTAGATCTTTAGAAATACACCTGTGAAAACTGCATCCAATTTCGTGCAGTAGTTTTTGTTGGATGCCGGAACAAACATACAGACAGACAGATAAAATTTATAAAAGTTAATGTTTTGGCTTCAATTGCTCTCATGAATATTTTCTAGTATACTATACTAAAATAATATTATGTATTTTACTAATAAATTATATTATTGTAATGAATATGAATATTCAACATAAACCATAAAACCATTTCCATTTTTATTTAGAAAAAAATAAGAGAATAAAAAGTACTTAAACCCTCTTAAAACAATCATTTATTCCAGTAAGCGGTTCATTTTCAAGACGAATTTGCGAAAGATTAAAATTTATAATTTGACTGCCTAAACCTTACTTAATTAAGATTATGAAATTATGATACTCATAATATTCCAAGCAATTATTTCAAAAACACTTAGTCGAGAATCTTGCGCGGTAATTATCTGTGAAGTACATTTTCCTATAACAAGATATTTTTCCTGTCTACGGAGCGCTTGGCAATATATAATTTAAGAGCTTAATAAAAACAATTGAAACTAATCTGTCTGTCTTCATACTAGACCTTTTACGAGATAAGCTGTAAACTGAAAAAAATTATGTCTAGAATTTTTATCCCTTGATTCTTCCATTTCATATCTAAGCTAACACTTATACCGATTTCAAAAAATCTTAAGCTCTGCCTGTAAATGCGATTTGATAAGGTATTTACATTCCTCCACATTCGCATTCTCTAAATCGTTTGTTCCATCCTTTTCTCTGACATTCTTTCCACATATCCAAACCTAAAGTCAATCCTTTCTTATTTTAAAACCGATACTTTCAAATCAACTTGCTCTCGTACTACTGTATTACGATCGCGGTCTGCCACCAAACTGTTAAACTAAAAATGAATAGTGTTTGAATTCTTTCAACAACACACCAAACCAATAAACAAAGCAACGACACCAGAATACATAACTAGAACTGTGTACTCGAAATACACCTATACGCCGATCTCGAAACTTACTCGATATACGCCTGATTTATGTTTTTAATTTAAATTTTTGCATTCGCCGGGCGAAGTTTGCCACGGACGCGCCGCCTGCATCACAAATATATGTTGGCTACAGCGGAGTCGAGAGATCGTTTCCAGTTTCGATTCGATACAGCTTGAGCGAACTGTCGACTTTTAATCTTTTAATGCTACTCAACAAACTTCAGACTCGTTGAATACGACATTTGCTTTTATTCAAAATAATACTGAATATTTTGTATGACATATAAAATATTATTCAGTATTATTACGTAGTAGTAGCGTACGTTTATAATAATATTTTGTATATTTAAGAACGTTTATTGTATGCGATTAATATATACTAGTACTTACCTAAAATAAGATTGGCTATTAACTATAACTGTCGTTTTGAGAACAGGGATAACATTAACCGAGCTCCGGAGGCTGCATGGACACTAAGTAGAGCTCAGTGCGGCTTAGAGCAACTTTACCGTCGAAAACAGCACCTGAGGCATAGCATTGCCCGCATTGTGCCCAATCTATGAATTGCTGAACTTTGGAATAGGTGCAAACCTTGTATAAGACTATGAATCGGCTTAGCATTGTTTTTTTATACAAAATTACTGACACAAATACTAAATCATTTCATAAATATTAGATTCATAATAAATTATGAGTATTTTTAGGTGTTCACGTGACATGCTTTTTGAACAATGCCAACATTTTTATATTTTAATTATTATTATTAAACTATGTAATTTTAAATACATAGTATAGACATCTCGGAATAAAGAAAGACTCTATTGGTTTGATTTCGATTTCGATTCCGAATATAAAATAATACGTCAATCATAAATACATACAAATATTACATCTATTATTCTATTGATGCTGGAGATTGTTGGCAGTTTGTGGAATTTAGAATTCATCTTTATAAAAATGCTTGTATTAATTTCACAAGTACCGCATACATATTTATTCACCTTTAAAAAACTATACAAGAATTATCTATGTACTATTTAACCTATAAATCTTATATATATATGTTTAATGTTTATATTTATTAATATTTTATTCTATTTTGTTTGAATGAGCATATATATATTTTTGCACGCCTAATATTTTCTTTCATATGCTGTGAAAAAGTAATGACATTTTATTTGCTCATTTCATTTTTTCTCGTTTGTTGTTTCGTATATTTTTTTTTCTTTCTTCTTTCTTTAAATATTGTCTTTCATATGCTGTGAAAACTATGTATACGATTATTACTAAGTGATTACTTTTAGTTACTTTCGTCAGCTAATCTGTCTAATCTAAAATAATAATAACTAATTTGTACAATCTAAAATATTTTTAAGATCCTTTCCCAATATATGGAAGTTTGACTTAAAATTCATTCATATGTGTTTGTAACAAAACTACATATTCAGTCGAAATATATATTTAGACACAAATGTCACATTGAATTTTTATGCATTGCTGCATTTTGCAGACTCGATTCCTTCACAGAGCTTGAAAGTGCTCGCCCGAGAAATGCCAGTCAGCGTCTGTTGTTTAGTCTTTACTCCCTAATCCCCGTACAGGAGTGCCCGGGGAAATTCCATGTTTGAACAACTACATTTATATAAATCTAAGAGAATATTCAAATTATAGTATTTATCTACTTTGTTAGATTAATATTCAGATATATATTATATTTAAATTTATTTTATGCATTTAAACATAATTATTGTTTGCCGCTATTTTAAATAGTTAGCCGTCATCATTTTACTGTCCATTTTACAGACCTTTTGACCGCTTATGTGGTCGTGGAAATAATTACAATATGTATGTACTGACTTTGATATGAAAAGATAAAAAAAAATAAAAATCAAGCTCAAAGCTGTAATAAAATAAATGTAAGCATGATATAATGAATAACACTTCACCGGTATCGATGTCGCAATCAAAATGTTGAAAACGTGAGCAATTCGCTGCCGACGAACTTCACAAAGAGCCTCAACCATGCATCGGAAATGAATCAGTTTCCGTTTTGAGTGAGCCAAATGATATTATCTGTCTTCCGTATGCATTCTAAACGAGACCCTACCATCTGTGCAATACTGTTCAATGCAGTTCCGCCAGTCTAATTTCAACGAAACGCATTACATTTGGAGACACATTGCAGGTTCCTTTTAAATTGGTAGTAAAAGTTCGCGAATTTTCAGAATCAGTAACTAAGTGTTTAAAAGCATGAGGTTTCTTTGTAAAAATTAACATAGAATTCAAACGAGATATATATATACATATATATAGGCTTTGAACTAACCTATTATCGACAGGTGTATTTAAAAACCTTGTTAGAAAACGAACAATTTTCGATTTTCTAATGCAATCAGAATATAAAAAGAAAATATATGTTTTGAAATATTGTATACTATACGAGCTATCTAGCCTTTGAATATGAATAGACATGTAAATAAAATGACCGATTTTCGTATGTTATGAGTCAGAACCTGTGAAAAAAATATTGAAATATCATCGAAATATAAAATAAATAAACAAAATACTGTGAAATAGGCAATTTCACGGTGCATTGGACGTTCTTTGCGTGGCGTATGCATGTGCAAGGATACGCCGCAGCGCACCCGCAACCACTGCTCGTCAGCACCCGCATCACAAAAGCTTCGATCACGCGAATAATTTTAATTTATTTTCTAGCATTTCAGATATCGGTTATATAATTTAAAATAATATTCATACCAGTAGTTAGTTAGCATGAATAATTAAAACAATATCTTGGAAAAATGTTCAACTACAAAATAAACTGCTGCTATAATTATCATACGGCAAACCAACCACAAAAACATGAAACTTCATAATTAAATCAGTTTAGACTTTGTAGACCGATTTTGATAAATCTTTTTTACTCCCATGTTGATTCAGTATCAAATTTATGACGACTTAAATCGTAATTTTCCTTTGCCAAACAAACTTACTTGTCGTAAAGCAAAATTTACACTAATAAAGGATCTCGATTCACGTTTCCGTGTTATAAATTCAAATATATTCAAACGTCTACAAAACATCTTGTCAATCATTGACGGGTTATTTTTACTATTGAAATCACTATTTTAATCGCAAAATGTATAACTTATAATAATAAGTTTTATTTGACTATCTACTGAATACAGATTGAAATTAAAATAATAATTATAAACTAACGATTGTTTGAACATGGATATTGTATACAGATACTATTATAGTTTAATTATTTCGCCTTTCGCCAATATTGATTGAAATAGTTGCACAACCATATTTATTGGGCGCAAATTACGTAATCAATATTGTTAGCGTCTGTATAAAAAAATCCTTAAATATAATTTAATTCACGTATTTCATATAAATATTCAAAAGCGGAAACTTTACTAAACTTTTTAACTTTAAAACTTTACTTACTTTTTTGATACTTCTTTAAGTATTTTATTTTATTGATAACGAAATTTCACTTGATCTTTTCGATTACATTTAAAATTTGAACATGAAACCGTATATGTCGCAAACTTCTTCATGGGACGTGAACAAGTGCATTTACGACGACCCTCTTGTTTGGACCACATTACCTGCTTTCCATCGGGTGGGGTGTAGTCATTTTGACT